TGGCCATCTTCACTCTATAAGCAGCCATCTCTTCCGTGCACACCTGGTTGATTTTTCTGTCCATCATTAGATATTTTGCAATCTTCAACACAAACATGCCATAGTTTCCCCTACACAAGTTTGAGAACAATTAGTAATCAATGTATTTACATTTTATAAAGACTTACATGTGCATGCTTGTTAATGTTTCACGTGTAGTTAAAACTTACTGATCTGTTTGTTGTGGACAATTTAGAGCTTCATTTATGCGGATTTCCTGATTTCCCATTGGTCCACTAGGGTGCTGTTTATAGACACCACATGCATCCAGGAGCTTAGGAAGTAGGTGTTTGATGCACGCGATGTAAGCTGCCATGTCTTTGAGTCCTGTTGACTTCCCTCTCATTGAATTATACACCCATATCGTCTTCCCTTCAATCTCTAATACTAGCAAAATCCAATGTTTGCCAGTATTCAAGGGTATGTACACAAAATCTGCATCTGCCCACTTAATTGCACACCTTCTTACTTTACCCAATATCTCACTTGTTAGGTTTTTAATGCTTCCAACATCGCGTGCAGTTTTCCCTTTTGCACCAACTTTGTCATGGTGTTTCTTTAGGGCATCCATGAAGAACGGTGTTGTTGTTCCATACTTTTGGCTAAGCTTGTAGTGGAACCTTTTCACTTCCAAATAGAACATTCCAACCTCAATGTGCTTTAACAAATAATGAAAACATGCATGAAGTTAGTTTTATCAACACCTTGCAAATCAAAATCATCATAAAAATGTTATATATTTCTTACCAATGTTCCCAACCACTCTTGATCCATAAACAAATCATACAGCCATGTCTTGTTATTCACAGTGTGCACATCCAGAATGAGAGGATTATTCTCCAAGTTGTCCTCTTCCTTGGTGTACATTCTTCTCCCTCCTGACTTTGACATCCGCTTCAACATTCCTTTCTCCAAATATGTTTTCAACCTATAAATGTCATCCTGTGAAGGCATATCTTTGGGCTCCAGTGCAAACGGTCCAATAATGACCTCCATCTAGCTCAATGTCGCTTCATCTGACCTCAACATAGGTTCCTCCATTTTCTGTTTCTTTTTTTCATGCTTTCCTCCAGAGAGTGTTAGCCTATCGGGCCCCTTTTTTGTTCTTTTTGGTCTACAGATATGCACACAAGAGATAATATTTACTGTGTTGGTTATGGAAGTCTACTACACATGTGCTAAAATAGCTCATAAAACATTGTACAAATCAGTTACTCACCATAAGTCCTTTTTTTAATGCATTTTCAGTGTCGATGTTGACCATTTGGGGTTCAGTGTCATCTGCCATTTCACCATGTATCACACCACCCACATGACTGACCCCAACTTCATCTGCCATCACAACATCCTCTTTTTTCCAACACCCTGCACATGTACATTTTGACAATCACTAATTAAGATGTTATCAAATTTCTTAAAAATAATGTAAAGTTAAAGTACATATACCTCTTTCTCATTCTGTTTGGATTCCACAGTATTTCTCTCTATAACATCCAACTCAGCCAGTACATCTTCACCATACTGTGTCTCAGCCAATTCAAATTTATACCCAGCCACACACATGCTCTCTTTTTCAACAACTTCATTCTCACTCTTATTAAGTTCAATATTTTTGTCATTCTCTTCTCCATTTGTTCTCCTTTTTTCCATGTTTGATTCTAACTTTGCTTCATTTCCCTTTTCACTCTTATCTCCGGATTCTTCCACGCCTTCTGATAACCCAATTTGTGTGCCCTCCACATGACCATCACACTTCTCAAATCCAGCTCGTGTACCATCATCCACATGTCTATCCAACCTATCAAGAATCTTCTGAAGCATCTGACCATATTCCACTTGCAACTTCTTAACTTCCCTTATTTCATTCTCAATGGCTGCATACTTTTCTTTTTCATCTATACGGAGGCTCTTTCTCCCTCCAAAGGAACCCTTCAATTCGAGCCATTTCCTCATCTTCATCAATCTGGTTTTTTTCATTTTTTAGGTGCCACTCCTTTCTTCTGCTTTTTGTGTTTAAATGAAAACTTTCTTGCTGCAGATGGCTGTTGATCTGAGGGTCCCATGACATCTGCACTTTGACCACTGTCCCATGACTCTAGCTTTAGATTCTGAATCTCCTTGTCCGTTGGAATGATTGTAATCATCTCAATCTGTGAAAAAAAAGGAATATTATGACTATCCACAGAATTCGTATTCATAAAAACAACTCTATTAATTTTAAGAACATATGAAACTTACCTCGGGATTTTTAAAGATTGCCTCATTTAGATACTGAGTCTGTATTTTTGTATACACCTCCCACTTAAGACAACGAGGGATACAACTTTCTCTTCCTTTTATAATGCCACATAGTGTACCATCACTCAGAGCCGGAAATGTCTCGAAAGCCCATATTTGTAGGGCAAACACATAGCCCCCAAACGTCAATCTTCCTCTATCACGTACTTTTATGCTCTGTGAACACCTCCCAGCATGGTTTAATAAATCCTCCCAGACATCTTCTCCCCATGAATATTCATTAAACGCATCTAAATCGTCTAAAAGCCGAATATACCCAGCAGGTAATGTAACTGATGGCTGGTGTCCCAAAAGGATATTGCCTAAAACATTTAACAATGCTAATTTCACTCCATCTTCCTTTTCCACACCTTCACCATTTCTATTAAATTCAAGTAATGCTCTTGTCAAATCGGAACGTTGAATTGACTTCTTATCATTAAAATACCTCAACCCAAAATCACCCAACTTATTTGATTTTGTTTCTATCTTCTCCC